GCTGAGTTTCCACAGATACCCGTAAGAGTGTCCAGAAGCACAATGATTGCCATGTCAACATGGTCTCCGTTTCCAGAGACAGGAAATAAAAAGGTTGCACTCATAGCCAAAAAAGTATATTTTATATATACTTGTAGGTTTCTTATTTTCACTATTATGAAAGTCAAATGAAAATATCCTTATAAAATGTTCTAGATGGCAATAGTAAACAGGGATCTTAAAAGCAAATTTGTATTTCAAAACATAAAAGTGCAATTATATTTCCCTTATTATTTATTGAATACCTACTATTAATAGAGCACTACACTAGGGCTGTATGGCAGGGGTAATGTACAACCAGATGCCTCCATTCTAACAGTTGGAGATTAAAAGAGGAAGAGCATGACTACACTCCTTCAGGGGCAAACCGGAAGCACTGTCTGTCTCCCACAGTCTACTCTAAGTGAAATATTCCCCACATTACTCTAGAAGCCAAATGAAATTGTGTTATTTTTCCAACGTGGCCACCGTAGAAACTTGTTAGAGACTTCACTTACCATTAACCATGATGAGATTATAGCAGAACTGTGACAACCTGGAACTAATATTATATTCTCTGGGGCCTTTTTTATCTTTATAACATATATTATGACAATTTAACATGTTAAACCTTCATGTTAGGTTAGAAGAAATAATCAATTAATTAAACGTATCTATTGACAATTTGTGTGGTGGCAAGAGCTTAATTTGTTCACATATTTTTTTTTGGAAAATTTGATTTAAAAATTCTTTGAAAAAGCTTATTATTTTCTAAGTTTATTCCCAAATTAATAAATTCAACTGAACGTAGATATTCAAAGATCTTAACGTCAGAATTTTAGAGGTTTTCTTCAGTTCTTTATGCTTTTTGATAATTCAGAGCATTTTGTGTCTTTCCTTTTCAGAAGACAATAAAACCAAGAGTGTAGTCTGTCATGTGATTCCTGAAACCTTCACTATAACATGCATGGTATTTTAGATAACACCAATTTAGAATAAGGTCTTTTCAATGTTCTAGTAATATAAATATGCTTCATCCTAAAACATATGCTGATCTCCAGTAAATTGTACAATAACTACTAAGTCCTTTATATTTTCTGTTCACCCTTACTATAGAAAATGGAAATTTATTTTCTAATTATATATGCAAGATCAAAGTTCTAAAAACAGTCCAGAAAATTCCAATTTATATCAGTGAAGAAAATTCCAATTTATAGCAAATGGATCATACTGACATTTCTTTAACAAGATTAGAAGTCAAATAAGCCTGTCTATTAAATTTTAAGAGTTCATTACATTGTGCGTCACCTGTATGTGAGAGGGACTATGGTCCAGTATTTCAGATAGATCTGAGAACCAACCTCTACGAACTAAAGCTCTAGCTATACCACTAACAGTAGACCTTCTGTGTCTTGATTTTCACATCTAAAATAAGGATAAGCATTTTGACTTACTTCAGAGTATGTATTTTTTACAATTAAAATTATTTAAAGACAGCAAAGCAATATAGGTTAAAATTCACTTGTTCACTGTAATAAATATTCTAATGTATGTAACTTTATTAGATGTCAATTCTAACCTGCTTACATCCATAGAACTTATTTTATAATTGTTTAACTTAATATTCAGATGAAGATAAAACTTCTAAATTTTATTACAATTCTAGTTACTACCTCAATTTTCCAATAGGTGGGTTGTGTTATTTATTTCTGGAATAGTAATAAAATTGCTATTATTTTATGACTAATAAAATTCTCCAAATTACTTTTTTAAAATGTTAATGATAATAAATATTAAAATGAGCAGTAATGCCTTAGAAATAAAACATTTTAAATTATTACATAATTGAAACTAAATTTGTGTATATATTTAAAATGGGAAGTTTCAATAGCATATTTTCATGAATTTGAAGTCATTTGAGATTGCAAATGGTATGTTTAATTCAAGCAGTCATTTTTTCCCATACTTATAAAATAACACAATAAACACTGACTTTCGTTAGAACTGTTACTTACCCTTAGATTTACTTTTTTTTATTTCAAAACACTCAAACTACAGATGTTTGAAGGTGTCTCTTCGGCATAGTCACTTAAAAAGTAAAGTCCTAATATATTCACGGACAAAAACTACAAAAGTATATTTTAATGGATCTACTGCTTTTAAAATTTATTCCATGTAATAATCATCAATATCATTAAAAATCACTCCCAATAAAATATTTGTATTTTTTCTTTTCATGATCCAAATCTACAGTGAAATGATGAAACAGAAAAACAAGTGTTCTTGTCAGAAGACAGGAAGAAAGTTTTTCCCCATCCCTTAAGGAAAACAAAGGATTCCTGAAAGCTCTGCCCTGATTTATTTTTCCAATTTTAAATACCTTAAGAGTAGCGGAACTGCTACTGGCATGGTAGTATTTCTAACAGTCAATAAATCTAAAATATTATGTGTGAATATTGGAATGAAGCCATTAAGAAGATTACAGCATGCAACACAGCAGAGGGTCCACAGGAAAAAAGAAGTAGTAATTCAGGACAACTGTGACCACTGACCTTTGAACAGCTAAGACCAGTGGTCAAGCTGACACAATAATGGAGTGCACATGCACAGAAGTCGTCCAGCTTGGACGTATAACTTAAATGTTTTGGCAAACGATTTTAAAAGGCCCCCGTTTAAATCTCAGTTAACTTATTAAACAAACAATACCAATAGCAATATTTTACAGGTTTCAGGTATATTTAATGCACAAAAATTCAAAAAGATCATTTGTGATTGTAACACATCCCATTTAAAACATTTACAATTGTAAAACCATGATGTGATACCTCATCATGTTTCCTCTAGGACTTATAAGAGATAGCTTCATAAAGCTGAGAAAAAAGCTAAATTTGCTGGAGATGCATTCGACAATCACCCAAAATCATTTCAGAAAATTACTATGACTTTAAAATACACTGTCAGGAAATGGTCCTAGCTCTATCTCAAGAGCTATTTTGATTTCTGCAATCTTCAAATTTGCCTATCAGTCTATAGCCCTTAAGTTCACATATATATATATATATTTAATCCATCTATACCACTTTGCAGTGTTTTTTAATCTACATTTTTAATATCTCAGTTATGTTTAGTGATACTGTTCCTGATAAGTAAACTACAAAATGGTCCCTTCTGTTACTTGATACGCTCTACATTTGTGAATTCTACTTAATTTCTCCACATATTTAAATAAATGTTTTAATTATCAAACTAATTCTACTAGGAAATGGTACTTTTCAATTAAAAAAGTATTACCGATCAAAAAATGAAATTTCAAGGGTTGTTTTTCCTTCAGGAATCATCTACCATTGGAGCTGACTATAAAAATTTTAATGCCACATACAGAAAAGCTGAATTTCTTTCTTTTTTTTCTTTCTCTTTCTTTTTCTTCTTTTCTCTTTTTAACAAACAATCCTTTCTCCTTAGGGATTAACAGTGGGAAATACATGCACATAAGGAAAACATGCTTAAAAGTTGGGATTCTATCTTCATAATTATTTCTCTACCCAGTGAAGAACATTTTGATGGGTTTTTAAATTAAGAACTCCAATCATTTCTAGCAGTTTCTGCAAATTTATGAGACAACCTAGTTATAATCAGTTAAAAAGATATAATTGTTCACTGGCCTGGGTTTAAATTTGTTCATTTGCAGGGTCAATTTTATCAGTATAAGATAAAGTAGCTCAATTTTAATGTCTCTCAAAATCACTAAGTATTTTAGGTTATTTATGAGCTTTGACAATCAAATCATATTTTTGCTATCACTAGCCGTAAGAACAATCAAGGCTAGTGTTACTGTGTCTTTTGAGTTGTGATTTTTAAGTTCACTCTCTCAAACTCCTTAATATGGATTTCAAACTACTTGCAATAGTATAGAAAAATATAGTTTTTTCCCCAAATTTTTAATATACTTGAAAACAATGAATGCTTTGATTTTTTTGAAATGTTAGCTATTTTAACTTACAACTGTGTAATAACAATATTTTTAAATAGCCACTAAAATACATAGAGAGGCAGTACTAGTTTTCATTTTCACCCAGTACTAAGGAATATGAAGGCCAAAAAAATGCACTTTTGGAGACTATTTAATGTGAAATACAGAATATGTCCCATTATAAGCTGCAGACACACACGCACACACACATAACCCCTCTGCAAGATCAAAGACCAGAAGAGAACTGGCACTTAATTTATCAGCCTTTACAGACAAAAGACAGTTTTCGTCATTTCAAAAGGATCAGATGTCTTTTATGACAAACTGGGTTTGCAGTTTAATTTACAAATAGAATTCTAAGTAAGCAGTCTTTGCTCTGCCAAAGCAAATGACAAACAGTGTAGGTTTTCATTCTTGCGGCCCTCAGCAGGACAGAAAAGATTAAAATAAAACTGAAATAATTTAGAGAAAACAAATAAATGTTTCAGAAAGTTGAGGGAGATCAAAGCCAGAATTTTCTGACCCCAACTGTACAAGCATTTCTTATTATATTGACCAGTAACATCAGATCATTAATTAAAAGGAAAAGCGCTGGCAGGTGGCAGGGAAGCAAAAGCCGATAATTGGCCCCCTTCTTCTTCTTGCCTTCAAAAACTCTCTCATTCTTTTGCAAGACATGCCACTAGGCAGACAGAAATGCCTACTTTGTAATATAATGATTAAGATGAGATGAAGAGACTTACGTTTAAAGAAACTGTGCCTAATGAATGCATCCAGCTTTTTAATTATGATCCTACTTTTACAATAAGGAATATGATGTTCCATTCAGTGTCTCCTCAACTGCCAAAAGGTAAAAATATTAAATACAGAATCTACATCAATTCCTCTCATACTCTATGCACACACCCAACCCTTTTAGTTCAGATGGAAAGAGTGTGAAAAATAATTCTTCATAATTCAAGTTTCTAGGAGAAAACATGTAAGTTCATTACAAAATATCCTTCAGACTTACCACATCACTTGGTAGGTTGTACAAGTCATTAAATGGTGACTCTAAAGTGTTTGTATCAACATTTAACATCACCACATCCTCCAATGATTTGTTTCTCACTCTCTGTTTAAAAAACAAAATTACAAATAAAAATCTTACTACTCTTTTCCTACAAAACTATGATGAGCTTGGAAACACATTTAAAAATTACCTTAATGCATTAGGCTTCAGAAGAGAAAAAAGAAAAATCTTACATTATCAAAGAATAGAAGTAATTTTGAAGAAAGGAAGTTTGACTACAACCTATTCAAAAAGATTTGGTAAAAATGCTTAAAACAGAACATCTGCTCATCTAATGTTAAACGTAACTACCAAAGAGATATCAGAACAAAGACTTAGAAAATAGGCATGATTACATTAAATTGTAAAAAATCACATCCTTTAAAATTTATCAATTGAATTTAGTCCCATGATACAGGAATTTGTGGCCAACTCTATGCGTATTTTTAGCATAAAATACACTGCAGGGATAATATAAGTCATTAACTATGACTACAGTATTAAAGTACATTTTAATTTAATAAATATTTTTTCTATATTTCTATACCAATAGATATATGTTGATGAGGAGGACTGAAAGTAGAATAAGAGATGGTAGTAATATGGAATTTATTCTCAGTATCACTTCTCACATGGATTTTAATAAAGAATCACATACAACTGCCTATCTGATTGACTTACTTGTCTTATCCATTTAAAAGCTTAGTCAAATTATCTCAATATTTCCATAAATGATAATAAATCACAATTCTACTAAGTTTTTTATTTCTAAATATTAGCAGGGTACAAATGTTTTTGTTACTTGAATACTTTTTTAATGCTTTAATTGGGGTTTCTGGTGTATCTATCACTCAAAGTATTCTCTGTACCCAACCGGTAAGTTTTCTATCCCTCACTCCCTCCCCCTTCTGTCAAATTTTAATCTGTAAATAACAGAAATATGTATGATTCGTTTTTCCTTTTTAAAGTACTGTCTATACTTATATCATACAATTCTACTAGTCTTGTATAAATTAGAGTAAATAGTGCTATTCCTCAGTGATAAAAAAAGTGTTCGTTAATGAAATATATTCTTGAATTCAGAATTCCAAAAATGGTGTAAGTCAACCAGCAATAGGGCAATAATTAACTTTAGTGTAGCATTTTTTAGTGATGTTTTATAATGATAGTCATTTTTTAAAATTATTAAATACTTTACATTTTAAATTGGCCAAACTGATTATTTTGTTTTGAGTTTGTAATGACTGAACTTTCTCTGAATTTCCATTCTCTACATGTTAGGTAGAATGTTAAATTACTACGGAAATAGTAGTCTGGAGTGGGAGATTTCTGTGTTAAGAAAACCATACTGTATACGTAGAGAATGGATTCTTGGGGAATATATGATTCTAAAAATGTATCTTTTAAAATCCATTATAATTATTATTATAAGGTAAGACTAAGATAATAGCTATTATAGATATTAATTGTAAGATATTAGCAGAGAATAACTTGCGGTGATGTTATTGATACTATTACAAAAACACTCATTTCTCCTCCTTTACATGGATATATATTTATGTAAAAAAGTTTTAAATACATAAATATGTAGGTATGTATAAATTAACTAGAACAAATATAACAACAACCTATTTTATGGGCAAAAAATATAATTAATAGCATTTGTGTACAAAAATCATGTCATGATTTTGACTTTCATCTTCATTTTAAGTTGTCCTTATAGAAGTAGTAATGATGATCTAGAAACCTTACCTATTTTTTAAAGGATAAAATTAATTACTCTATAAATGGCCTCAGATAGTGGCTGTGTTCTCCCAAAATGTTGTTTGATGCCAATAACACTAACCTCTGAATAGAGTAAATTAGTATTAAAATAATATGTATACATTTTTTAAAAATTCTTTTAATTTTAAGGAGTCTGATAATAGCTCAACATTAAATTTTGTCCAAGCCACCACTCTACAGGAACAGAAAAACATATTCATTCCAAAACAACAGAGAGACCCAAATATGAGAACAATTCCACATAAGCAAAAAAGAAAAAAATGTATTTCTGAGATATTTGAATTTGCATCAGTATTTTATCTATATTTTTCTGTCAAAATCAGGCTTTTACTCTTTTTTTCTAAGTAGTCATGGAATGTCATATGGTATATAAAATGGTATCTCCTTGTCTGTCTCAAATTATGAGATATTAAAGTAAAATATAAAAATGAATTTATCTTTTTCTTTAAAAATAAAATAATATTGAACATAGACTTGAAAGGCTTACTAAGAACAACAGTCAGGTGTTCAAGTGTACCAGCAATATTTAACCCTTCTATGCTATGTGGCTATGATGTACATAAAGCACATTAATGTAAAGAAATGATACAGTGGCAGCAATCACATAATCTCATAAAATTGAGCAAACATTTCATTTAGAGTCCTTTGTATATTAAAACTAAGATAACCCTCACATATGTAGCCTCCACCAAATTATTCCTAATGACTTAGCAGGCCTTAGTCTTCCTTGAGTTTATCTCTTAATTTCAAGGGAGAACAAAATGTCTTTAACCCTTGATTTAGAAGAAAATTTTTATTTTACAAAGAGATTTCTGGCCATCTTTATTCATAATTTCATAAAAATAAATGAAAGGAAGCTATCAAAGAACACTGACTTCACGTTTTGAACAACTATATTTAGAAGTTGCTATTACCCTAATAAAATGTGTTGAAACTGTCTTGATCAATAGAGATGAAGAAAATATTTTGATTATTACAACAGAAAAACATCGGTTGTAATTGCCAAACAAAATGCAAAAATTTATTCAGTTCAGGCTTGTGTATTAAATATGTAAACAGCTATGTCAATATTTTAATTGTAAGACAATTTTTGATGAAAAAGCCTAAAAGATAAAAATTTTAGTGAGAAAAAATCTGCATGATAATTACAAAAGGAGAGAAAAATTGCAGGATATATATATCATGTTGTAATAGATTAAAAAGAAAGTTAATAAATAATAGCCGACTGGTTTAAAGGAATTCCTGAAGTGCCCAGTGTATCTTTTCATTCACTATTGATCAGGTAAACAAAATAAAGCTGACTATTAATACACTTGAATAAGTCCAGAGTATAAAAGGTACAGAAATATCAGTCGATCTAATCATAGTTCTAAATATTCTCATTTAATAATAGGAGCCATTTAAAGTTAATAGACTATTTCTCTAAGACAACACTTTCAAGGAATAAATAATTCTTAAATTTGCTCCTTAAAAATAGTACTGGATTCCTATATAAAAGTGCAATAAATAAGAGATAAACTTAATTATTTAAAACATGCACCCTTTTCTATATTATTTAGGAAAAACTGAATTAACTGTTTAAAAGTAGATAGAAAATCACCATGCAAAAAAAAAATTTATAATATCAACAGGCAACCAACAATTTTAAATGTTTTTCATCTCTATAAATACTATACATATATTGTAAGAATGGTGTATCCTATTAGCTGCATTAAATAAAGAAAAAATACTAACATGAAAATCAAATCTGATGACTCTTTTTAAAGAATCCAACTATAGGGCAGCACCTGTGAGTAGGGCGCCGGCCCCATATGCCGGAGGTGGCAGGTTCAAACCCAGCCCCGGCCAAAAACTGCAAAAAAAAAAAAAAAAAGAAATCCAACTATTATTAGATTTTGATAAAGTCATATTACTGATGAATAAAATGCCAGTCGTATATTCCATGATCTGATTTAATTACAGATTAAATACCTATTCGTACTTTATTTCATATAATTTGTCCTTTTACTACAAATGCCTTAACATATAAAAAACAAGCATGCTAAAAATGAATTAAATATAAAGAGTTATAAAGTTATCCAACCCAGACTTCAATATTAAAAACCAAAGAAATCCAACATGTTGGTGTTTCTTTCCAGAAAAAAAATAAAATAAAACTAAAGAAATCCATTAAGTGTATTTTCTATTAATGTTGAAACAAATTAAAAAGTGCTGCCCTAGCATGTCGCCAGAAGAAAATAATGCCCCAAACTAGAGCATAGGCAGAATTCTATAATCCTGGCCTCTTTAAAACCTAAGAATTTTATTTTATTTTTTAATTATTTATTTATGTATGTATTTATTTATTTTTTGAGACGGAGTCTCACTTTCATGGTGTTACAGCTCACAGCAACCTCAAACTCTTGGGCTTAGCAATTCTCTTGCCTCAGCCTCCCAAATAGCTGGGACTACAGGCGCCCGCCACAACGCGTGGCTAAAACCTAGGAATTTTAAAATACATCTACAGACTTTGAACAAAGTAAGGACTGGTGATGTATACAGCAACTAATCAGAAAACCAAACCTAATTCATTTAGGTTGATCATTAGAAATTAGGTTAAAGTGAAATCTACATAATGAGCAAAAAGAGAAATTCATTTGAATAAAACTAAAATCATCCAGCATAAGGATGTCACTCAACTGACCCAAGGCTTTTGTTTGGTATTTCACATTCTAATTTTAAAGAAGTCCTCTGTGAACTCTCACTGATTTCAAGTTCAAGGTGTTTAAAATTCCAGCTGTTTCACCCTAAGGATAAACTGAAGTGACAAAAATCATTTTCGAATGTTATGGTAACAGTGGGAAAAAATGTTAAATTTTACATCTCCCAACAGGATTGAAAATTAAAACTTATTTTAAAACCTATACTCTAATGAAAAAGTTCTCAATTAGTACATTAAAACCACATTTTGAAAAAGCATATTGATAAAATGAAACATAACAAAGTTTAAAAACTAAAAATGTTTCAATTGATAAAAACTGACTTTCAAAATGTAAGTCTAAAGAAGACATATAGATGATCTCCACTTGCCATAAAAGAAGCAGTTCATCAAGGACTAAAGATTTTTATTATTTAAAACTTACCACATGACATCTGCCAAATATAACCTATTTCCATGGTTTCAAGCTATGGAAAATGGTCACTTAGTATGCTAATATAAACGAAATCATTTCAATGTTACCTTTTAAAAATGAATATTTAAGTATAATCCAAATATAAAATTAGTCATTGCTTTGTGTTATTCAATTGATATATTCTTTCAAAACAAAATTATTTCAATTATTATTTTTATGGGTTAATTTTATCACTGTCTCATGTCTGAAAGATACTCACCTCTATTAGGCTGGAGTGTATTCCAATCAGGTATGGCATTGGGGCACTAAATTAAAAATATATATATGCATAGATTCATATAGTTCATTAAAACTGAAACAACAACATAAGTAATTCAGAATACTTAAAAATTTAAATTTATTAAAAGCTCAGTTCCAGCATAACACATTATAACTATTCAAAGTTATTCAATATATAAAACTCAGATTTTATCTTAGAGGCCATTAATATATTTAAATTGGTTAATATTTTAATGGTTTATATAAAAATCACAACATCATATGTAATTTAATCAACAGTTACAATGCCTAAAAAGTTTTTTTATTTAAGAAATATATTTGAGTCTAGGCAGGGGTGTATAACTTTTTTTTCTCTGCTGCACACCAGAAAAAGAAGAGTTGTCTTGGGCCACACGTTAAATATCCAAATACCAATGAAAGATGATTAGGGAAAAAAAAAAAAAAAAGGTTCATGTACACTTTTCATGAACTCTGACACCACAGATAAGCAAAAAAATATCCTCACAAAATCAGCATGGGACTCTTGGCTGCAGGTTGGACACCCCTGGTCTAGGCCATAGTCTGGGTTGAATCTTTTCTATATACTTCATAGAAAATATATCCTAAATAATCATCAAGCTTATTTACTTTCCTTTTGTACATCTTTTGCTATTCAATTAAATTCCTATTCTTTTTAATATATCTTCACTGTCTCATTCCCACTATGTCACCAAATATTTATAGAGTCAGTCAGTCAGCAAATACTTCTCCAGACTTACTGTGTGTCAAGCACAGTGGGGTAATTAGAAGTACAAAAATAAACAATTTCATCACCTACTTGCTATCTTTCCCTTTAAGCATCTTGTCTTTTATTTAAATTTTATAAATTCAGGTTTATCCAAATTTCACTTTTATTAATAAAATAATTTTAGCCAATTTTAAAATAGTTAAATAAATGTGCGAATGATCTTGCATTAATTAATTCAGTACATGATATCTGAAGCATGTCAAGTTCCAGGCCCTGAGGTAGAAGTTTAAAAACAATAATAAAACAAGATAAACAGAATATATTTCCTTGTAGATTTATACTTTGGCAGAGAAGATCCATATTCAATAATTTTAAATATATAAAATCAGAATTACTAGTTATTTCCTAAATACTTCTCATGAAATATGGGAAGGAAATTATTCAACTTGACCTTTCAAACTAAAATATTATCTAACAGGAAAACATGAGAATGGACAGATATCTACCAAGGTGATAAAAGATATATGAGTAAACAGCTATTTTGAAATAAAACATTTCTGGCAATTCTTTTATTGACATCTTTGGGCTCTGTTCGTCCAAACCTTCTCTATTTATGCAAAGAGATAATCCCCTTTCTCAAAGGATTTGCATAATTTTCTGAACTCTATTGTCACTATTAGAACAAGCTGTCCAAACTATTGTGTGTTCACTTTGCCACTGAGAACCAGTAATAGATAAAACAAGCACCTTGACAGACCCAAAGATTTCATAGTAACCTCAAACAGTCCCAAATTTACTTAAGGGTGGCTTAAATACTAATCTATTAAACCTGTATCCAGAATTCATGAACGAAGTGGTAGATTTTTTATTTTACTCCTCATTAGACCGTATATTCTAGTTCACTGCTTCTTATTGTACTAGATTCTAATTCCCGGTTGTCTTCACCTTTTGTAGCTTTGTTCCTTCCTATTTTTTTTTTTTTTAATTTTTATGCAATAGACCATCTGGAAGTGATCTCATATTCTGAATACTTCACTTGACGGAAAGTTGAGAACTATTTATAGGCCTTGATATCCCTAAGACCTAACAGATTTTCTGCCTTCAAAAGGAAGCAGGAAGAACCAGTGTGGACTGTTCCACCTTTGTTTACATGAGGGAAGACCAGTTACTCCCCCGGTTCAAGTTCTCATCCCTGAACTTCCTTCTGGGACTCAATACAAGATATAAAATGCATGTTGCTAACTATGCTAGGCTTCCATGACCAGGTTTGGGCAACTTTGACAAAACAAGCTGGGCAACTTCCAAGATCTTTAATATTCCAAGCCCTACTCAAATCTAAAACAGTATAAAATTATTAAATTGGCTATACAAACTTTCATTTGGCCCGAGGTTAAGTCATCTTACCCACAAGATTTATAACTTAGAATCTAAGTCCGTGGTATCTCAAGTTTCAAAGTACGTTTTAATAAAAGAGTGTTAGTCAAAACATTTAAACTTTAAAATAATAATTACTATGTCCATTTTACAAACGTTGAAAGGATATTGAGTGGATAAAACTCTCATAAAACCAAAGACAAAACTCCTAAATAACCTACTGAAACCTAAGAAATACCTCTAGGAAGACATTTTTAAAACTTTATGAATGGTACTAATCTTTAGAAGTATAAACTATAAATTTTAATCAATAAATTTATTAAAGTTATTAAGCTACAATAAAAAATTCAATGAAAAGCTCTTATGCAGAACTTAATAATATAGTAACTTGAAACTTTTAAAAATAAGATCACTGGCTATCATCCTTATATCTTCTCACTGATTTCTAACAAAATCCAAAACACAGATTTAAGAATTGTAAACACTACTAATCTGAAGCCTAATTTCCTAAACTAATTATAATGTTTTAAAGAATATGTAACTGAACAGTTGTTTCCTTCTCATGAAAACTGGATTATAATACAAACATGAAATAAGCCAAACCTTAAGTAATTTTGCAAAATAATTTCCTAATGAGAGTGAGGCATTCATAAGTCAGGAAGATATTCTTGGCAACACACATGTTTTATCATCCATGTGCAAAACCGTCCTAGATCTTTCTGTTCATGAATTTACTCTGCAGAGGCAGGATACAGACGTCGTCGTTAGCACTGCTCACTCTTTCTGGTAGCAACTCATCTTTACTCAAAAAGAGCCCTGGGCAGCGCCTGTGGCTCAAAAGGGTAGGGCGCCCACCCCATATGCTGGAGGTGGTGGGTTCAAACCCAGCCCCAGCCAAACAAAACAAAAAAAAAGAGCCCTTTTATTCTTTTTAGGTTTTCTTACAAAAAGACCACCCATCCCAGACTACAACAGTCTATTAGGGTAGTCTAAAGAACATAATTTTATTTTTTAAAAAACTATTCTCTTAGAAGCTAAATCTGCTCCTTTCATAAAGGAGTCAGATAGGTAGCCTAAACAAAAGGAGTTACTCAATTATTCCCTGAATAAATTATAAATGATTATAATTTTACTGGTCCTCAAATTATACTACCTCCCATGTGTTCGGTGTATCTGGCAACATAATAGACCTACCACATTAAAGTACTCTATATTGGTTGATAAAAGGAAAAATGTAGATGGTGTCACTTCCTCCCATGAGCCTTCCCTAACCTGCCAGGGAGCGTGAGCCACTCACTCTTCTTTTGTTGATATCCCATCCATGGTTCTTTTCTATGCCTCTGCTAGGGTTCTCACAGTATTGCAGTATTAACACTATGTTCCGTGCATGTGCACATATATACACGTGGATGTGTGTAGATTTCTTCCTATCTGTAACTCTCACAAGGCAGAAACTGTCTTAATTCCTTACTTTATATATTCACATCTTGGTAAATAGGTGTTCACTAAATGTTGAATGAACCGATGAATGAAAGAAAGAATGAACCAACTAAGTAACAAGGATTTATTGGTAGATCAAGATGTGATGTTCAGCCATGGTCACAAGATGGCATCACGGCTCTCCACAGTCCACACAAAAGAGCTACCGCATTCAAAAGCTGGAGGATTTTGTGTAGGTAGGATTATCTCAGGTCTAGAAAGTCCCAATCACGTTAGAGAGTTAGCAAAGACACATCTATTATCAAATCTTCCTGGTGCTATTTTTAAACAGGTATATAAAAAATTATTTATTTAAAGCCAGTGAGAGTGAGGGATAATCTGTAATTTTTTTCCTTTTGCATATTGATCAGTATGATTCTATCTATCCTCAAGGGTGCAGAAGGAAGGAAATCATTTTTTCTAGGAAATAGCTTAATCCATCAAATTTTTTGATAATGGAAGAAAATCAGAGTCTTAGATGGTTATTCTTAAAAAAAATTTTTTTTTATATTATTCTACCTAGTTCCTATGATAAAAGCTGAACCGATCATTGTGACCTTGAGGTTCAGGAAGTTTCAGGTGACTCCTTGTTTTGAATGTCACTGCTCTACTTTCTGGACCAGGGAGGTATCTGGCATGGAAGCTGTCAGAAGTCATCGTAAAGGCTATTTTAGATATTATAAACTAGAAAGAAAATTCAAGGGATTGAAATATGAAACAAGCTTCCTTCGTTATAGGGGAGGCAGCAAAGAAAAAAGGATTTCATGGCAGGGATAAAAAGTATTAAAAAGACAGCTCTGGAAAGAATACATACAGAACTGCCTGTGTCATAGAATAGATTCTAATTAACATTTTGGAAAGCCTTACAGGTGTGATTCACACATTACACAGAATTGAACTTAAAGGTGTGTTACCTGTTAAGAGGTCAGAACATTTTAATAGGAAAATTAAGATAAGCGTTAACATTATGAGAAAATATAATTCTAAACTTCATAATAAGAAGTGTTCTTGAACCACTAACTTGACATAATTTTTAAATCATATATCAATATATTTTCAAATGCTTTTATGAAAAATACTTTTAAAATAAATCAGTTTTAATTATTGAAAATCATATGCAAAGATCCACTGTGTATGTCAACATGAATAGATTTCAGTCCTTGCTTTCAAGGATGCTAAAGTACTAGAGATATGTTGGTCAAAGAAAAACTCTAAAATGAATAGTAAAAGAGCTTTATTTTATAGATTTAGCTTTACTATTAGACTTGTACGTGGTGCTTTACAATATAATTAAACTGTATTCTTATAGTATCCTCCAAAACTGTTTCTCTTTTCTAGTTCTCTAATGGCAGGATATTAGACATCTACATCACAGCATTATGAATCCTAACAATATCAGTAAGCTGTTAAAACATGGTATATTAGTATAATCAGTATGTGGACAAGTAGATGTATTAGAGGAGAGTTGGTCACAAAAACTTAATAGAAAACCTCTGTGCATGAACTTAAGTTATTTTAATCCTTAAATTACTTCATGTCTTTCATAGAAAGTTAAATAAATATAGTACTTCTAAAAGCATTTTGCTTTTTAAAAACATTAGCTGTGATATAAACAAATATATTAAGGTCAAAATATTTTCTACTATGTATGTGTGGACATGCATGGTTTAGAGGAGAAAAAAAAACCATCACATTTCTTAAGTATCAAGCCATGCTGCAGAAAATGATTTTGAAAAAAAGATAGCATTTTACTCCCTGGTCCTGAAAAAAGCCTGGAAGTTTCTGTTTGGGGGTCTAATCCTTATCTATGCAGACTCTTTTCAGAGGAAGAGAAAAAGGAAGGAGGTTCCAGAAGCCTGGCTAATTTCAGACTACATTGAATTGCTGCAAGTTTTTTCTAATAAAAGAAAGCTCTTTAGAATCACTCCTAACACTTTGCCACACTGCTTTTCATCGTGGCTGAGAATTCTTGTATTAGCTGCAACCCATTGTTGGCATATAGTACTTGGTATGCTATTGGAAAGTGTGGCCTGCAAGTATTCCCTGACACAGACAATGCGGTTTCTGGTAGACTCACCAGCCAAATTCTGACACCTGAGATATTGGGTTCTCTGATACCATAACTTCTGCGGTATTTTTCCAACCACAATCTGACTGTATTTGTTTCTATTTGCGCATTTAGTTCTCTAAATGACTACAGAAGAAATTCACAAAATCTAAAGAATCTTCATGTCTGCCAAGTATAAATTTTTGCTGCCTTTGGGAAGAATTACTCTGTCCTTCATAAAAGTACTCTTTAATACTTATTTATAATAATTGAGTTTCTGTGACTTCTTTCATATATACTCCAAGTTTACCTAACCTAAAACTAAGTGGATTCTTTTCTAATTACGAAACCTAGATTTAAAGGAGTCTGGCAAATGCCAGCTTACCAGCAGTAGTCCAGCAGGTGTGGAGGAAGCACTGGGATGTATATATGTTGCCAGTACATGGGGTATAGGAGAGCAGCTGATCCATGGAGACAGGCAGTTAACTAAAATTTGTGAAAGGACAACAAAAATAAGTAGGCGCTGACCCTCCAAACAAAAAGGCACTTTCAAGGTATCAGAGATGAATGATAATCATGAAACAATTTACGGAATGACATAAATCACATTGTCTTTACCCATTCTACATGTAAAAAGTCTTGTCTCAGAGGCCCCTCTGAAAAATACATAAACAGCAAAAGTAGTGTCTTTAGAATTATATTCAGATAATTATAATCATCTGAAAACACAGGCTTTGGGGTGAAAACTCAATACAAAAATAAGTAAAACTGAAAACATGAGGTAAGCATCTTAAAAATATTATAGGAAATTACAATTTGTACAGCACAGTTTGCACATCACTCAGATTAATATAACACGATTAAATATGGAAAGGAAGAGAGGCTGAAAGCTCCTGAGGGATATCATTAGGGCAAATTGCCAAAGAATGAAACATGAGCCAGTCAGGAGAGTCTGGAAGCTGCAGTAATACCAGGGGACTTGAATGTTCGACAGTTGGAGCTTCAGTAATGTGTGAACTGCGGGTTATGGTATCAAGAGACTCTGTTCACTGACACATAGAATGTCACTATTGACCAGCGAACTGCCCAAGCTTGACAGCTGTACTACAGGAAGCCAAGTATATCATAATTTCATATTTAAACTGTTCATTCCAGATTAACATTTTGTTTCTTAGCTTTATATCATAACAGCTGCAATTATAGTGTTGCTATTTTAAAGGTAATTGCCATTTTAATTGTTTTGTTTTGGCAAGCAGTTAATTAAATGTTTTTAATGCTTAGCAAAAGGATACCACTCTTTTTCTCCCTCCTATTAACCCTCGCCAGAATTATTTCCATGTGACTTTATTTCCATTTTAAATTTTATTTCTGTGGGTATGAAGTCATCTTTTAGTGTTCAAAGCAATGATTAAATCAGCATTTTTCATTATTTTAAAGTTTTAATGATCTGTATTACAAGGTTACAAATTAAATCATTTTAATTCAACTTGAAAATTTTAAAATAACTATTCAAAAATGAACCACAGACTTTATAAACCATTATCATTCTTCTTATACAAAGAAATTAAAACACCATAATGACAATTAACTTAAAAGAATAAAGGTACACAAAGCAATCTACATGTTATTGATAGCAACATTTTTCTATGTTTAAGCATAAAATAGTTCCATTAAATAAAAAACAATTAGAAAGAATAATCTGATTTGAACTAAAAACATATAAATTTTCACTGAAAATATTCTCATCTTTGTCAAATGTATATTTTTCCAATCAGATTACTAATCAATTTTATATGCCAAAAGATACATTTTGATTTCACTTAGGATGTTATTATTAAAGGGTTTTAGTACTTTGCACTCATAAGCTTTAATACTTAATCACAGTATTCCTTCAATAAATATTTTTTAACTTCCTTAATTGGAGCATATGATATGCCACTAGGAGGCATTCGAATACTTCTATTTAACAATTATAGACCCTGAATTTATTTATCTTACACACTTGAACTACAGGGAACAAAAACGGGGTTGATCTAAAATTAACTCATTGTTTCAAATTCTTTAAGAGCTTCAGGTACTCCCTTGCTATAAATTAGGTCTCTTTATGTTAACTCTTTCTATCCTTTCAGTGTAACCTGATGGGCTAAAAGAACTTATGTGGCGTTCCAATGATAGCTAATTACTCAGTTTTCCATCTGAGATGACTTTTCAAACAGCTCATTTAAAAACTTAAAACAAATAAAAGAAAGTGTCCCTTTTTATTACTGAGAAAAGAACAATGTAGCAAGAGGGAAAATACATTCTTAAAATGAGGAATTATCAGGACAGCAACTTATTTCACTGAGCAAATCCAGAATCCAAAACACTCTATTGTTACGGAGCTACTTTCCCTACCCCTTTAACAGTCATTCTTAAATGAAGTTATTAATTACCCACTAACAAGACAACATTATCTGAGGAATCTGACTGGTTTCTCAAAGGGTGGTTTTTGTGATCATAAGCAAAGCTGCAAAATTTCCGCAATGGTTAGCATGTGGCAGGGGGCTATCCCTACTATTCAAGACCTGCCAGGAAAGGAGGAAGCTCTATAGAACTTGGCAACTTTGGGGACTTAGGGGATAGGTAACAGGGAGGGATAAATATAAATGACAACTCTTTCTTCAACCCTAGCTTCTGAAATTAAGCAACTAGAATGAGTTGATATAATAACCCATCATATTATATGTGTATAGCAAAAGTGTCAAGTTTAAGTGGAACTGTATGTAATTTGCCTTTGCAAATATCAATTTGCACAAGACATTGAAGTGGCTATTTCCAAAGAAGGTAGAAACATACCACAGAAAAGCCTCCACATTCACCCTGTGGCCAGCAATCACTGTGTAACTGTAAAAATTGAGAAGAGACTCCAATAGGATATTCTCAGTAAAGAAGATAACAAAGTTGCAAGTAAAGATAAGTTAAGAAAACATAAATTTACTAGAAAATCAAACATTTATATAGCAGAACCTCCATAGTTGACTACCTTCTTTTATTGACCTGAAGTTGAACTAATTTTCACAGACCAGATATGCACCACATACACACACACACACACACACACACACACACACACGTATGTATGTATCAGAACAGCAGGCTTAGTTCCTTATTTTAACCACCTCCTTGTGTTGACCAGTTTGTCACAGTTACTTGGGTGGTCAACTTGCAGAGGTTCTGCTCACTATGAATAAATTATAACAATTAAGTATATTATAGACACAAAGTTAGGGCTCTGCCACCAACAAGCTGTATGACATCTAACACACCTGCTAATAACCAGGTCTCAGTATCTTAAACTTTCAATAAGAACTCAATGCTGGATGATCTGTAAACATTGTCTCCCATAGAGCAAATATTCTTTCTTCTTAAGTCAGATCAATTCTAACCTTCTATACTCCTAGTAATTTTTTCCATTCAGGTGGCTAACAAAATATTTTAACCAGACTATAATTTAGATCTACCTTCAAAATATATCTAAAGATCATCTCTAAATGCTTTGAAGCACACTAGGTAACTATGCAAGCAACTGAAAATATAATAATTTATTTGCTTACTTCAACAAAATCTCGAGTGCCTGCTATGTGTTATCATTAATCCCTACTAGGCAACAAGGACACAGCAATAAATAGGACTAAGTCCCTGTTTTCTTGGAGCTTACATGTTAGTGGGAAGGTAAACAGTAACCAAGCAAAATATATATTCTATCAGTTAGAGAGAAATGCTATGAAGAAATCTAAAACAGGATAAGGGGCTAATGAGTGATGGAAGGGCTATTTTAAATGGAAGGATTATAGAAGAACTCTAATGTAGTGACTGGGACCCACTGGAGAGAACAAATTTGTGGATTTGGGGGAAAGGGCATTCAAAAGTCCTGAAATGGAACACACTTGTTATTGTCACAGAGAAATGGGAAGCTCGTGAGACCAGACTGCAGGAAGTGGGAGAATAGTAGGAGATAAGGTCAGAAGGGAAGGGAAGCTGGGTCAACAATGTAGAACCTTCCAGGACAAGAAAAAGACTCAAAATTTTATTCTAGATGAGACATTTCTATACATTTGTTGAGACTACTCACTCTCACAACAAATTATTTACGTGGAACATTCTGAGGGAATGCAAATTGAGGGAAAGCAAACTAACTATTTTAGAAGTTTGGTTTGCAGTATAAAATATTACAAAGGAATGAGATCAATTTAATGAGCCGAGTAACAAAAAGGTCTTATTACTTTAAAGTTATCTGTGATCTATTGAATCTTTAAGCCTACACAGTAATGACACACATCGCATAGTCTTTCGGGGGCTGGAATTATCCCGGATCGTATGTCTGGTCAGGGATTCCACGTTGCTTTTCTAATACTGTCAGTAGCTTCTTTACTGTCACAGCTGTTCTTTGGGAAAGCAAACTAAAGGGTGAGGGAAATTTTCTGTGTGTGCAGTTAAAACATATTTCTGATCTTATACCCTGAAACAGAAGGAAAATACATTGTTATAATTTTCTAAGAAAAATAAATTTACCAAATAAAGGTTTAAGAAAACATTCTTTATCTTTAAGTGGCATATGAATATTAGAAACGCACACATATCTTCATGCAATGTACTCAATATATGTATATATGTATATGGTATGGTTCTATAGCGTTGACTGATGAAAAATTAAAAAAATTGAGAATATTTATTTCCTAAAGACTCCAATTAGAACATAAGTATATGTGGGAGCCGTATGAAGAGACAAGAACCAGAGCCTACAAAATCAGACAGAGAAACCTAACAAGGAAGGTCAGCAACAGTGAACTGGTCGGAGAATAAAAGCACTCGAAACCTCCAGTCCCAGGCCACCATGTCTGATACAGATAACTGCCACCAACGGTAACAACAGTCACCATTTATACAATGCCTACCATGTGCCAGGCACATAGCTGAAGTATTCAGATATAATCCTCACAACAAACTTCTGAAGTAGGTACTAGTATCATTATTCCCATTTAAACAGGACAGTGAAGCAAAATGAAACCAACTGCCCATCTAACACAGCTTGTACACAGCAAAATCAGGATATGAACCAAAGCAAGCTAGATCCAGAGAACAGTAAACAGTATATTAAACTCCCTCTGTAGACAAAGATATAAAATTCCCATCATTATGAGCCTTTTATTGGCATCTGTTGACTGAAAATACTGGGGTTATATTACTAATTATATAATAAAAATGCATCTTTGCATTGAACAGTCAAATATACAAGAGCACTTGACCTTTGTGTGAAAAATGTAGGGCCCTATGATAGAGACCTGATTTATATAACTTTTCTTAAGGGTTACACTTTGCAACTTTAACAGGAAATTAATAGGATAGTGTCTCAGAAAATGTCAAAAGGGTAAGATCTTTGATCAAAGTTATACAAGTTATCATCCGAACCTAAATTTGCAAGTACACTTCGGTTTGAAGCCAAACCA